TTTAACGCGTTTAAACGCCTTTCTGGCCGTTTATTGTCTGCCTGGGTATATGAAATCGATGCCGATCCTAATATAGTCGCTGCAAAACCATTTGCTGATATCAGTGCATTTAGTGAATTTCCTAGCGAATCAGAAATACTTTTTATGCCTGGTTCCATTTTTCGTTTAAACAGCGTCAATTGCAGTAAAGATGATTCATACTGGATCATCCATATGACATTGTGCAGCGATGATGAACATGATTTAAAAGAAGTTCTTATGTATATGAAACAGCAGCTCGTTAGTGGAGAAACAAATCTTCGAACATTAGGAAAAATATTATGGGAGATGGGAAAATTAGATTTAGCTAAACAATATTTCACTCGTCTATTAAAAGAACTTTCACCAAACGATCCTTTACTTGGTACTTTGTATGACGATCTTGGCAAACTAGCATCGCAGATCGGTGACTTTAATACTAGTATCCAGTGGTATCAGCAATCAGCCTCATTCAAAAGCCAAAATCAATTAACTTCAACTTCCAGTATTAAAGAAGCAAGCAATCCGATTGGTAAGTTTACCGAAAGAAAGCCTATTGAATTGAAATGTGAATACTATGCAACAACTAACATATTATTAGAAAAAAGGCAATTAAAAAACCCAGAGAGGAGAAGTTTATGAAAAGCCATTATCAATTCCATAAAAAAATCCTTGTTTTGACTTATTAAAATCCAATTCAGATATCCGAAATAGTAGGCGATTAAAATTAAACCAACAGAAGTGTTTACTATCATCTACTCTAATTTTAATTCTTATCTTCTCCTACGATTGTCTTGAGACATTTTTTTATGATAACACTGACATTGATTTTCTCCTTTCTTTATTTCTATATCATGACAATAATGTTGAGCGAATCAAAGATATTATTATATAAGAGTCAGCTATTTAAGTTAATATGAATATGTGTCACTTTTTTATTGAATCTGAAAATAAATACTAAGCATAATGATTATAGTCAATGTATTCTAAATGTTTCTAATGAGTGATGCATAAAAATATTGTTTATAAGTCAATACTCATACGTGTTCAAAGAATGTTGAAATGATAGCTAGCATGATCCTTAATACTTGTAACATCATCTACCTCTGTTCCCTCACATCTGTTGAGTAATAATGACCAAGATGTTCAATCTCATATGCTTTTATTAATATTATATTAA